TTTAACTATGCTATTAAAACAATTTACTATTTATTTTTAAAGGAATATTTTTATGAGATACAAAAGAAAAAGATAATATTGATGTTAAAATACATAAGTTGAAACAATTGTTTATAATTATATAATTTATAATTATTGTGAATATTATTAGTTGATATTAGCAATAACTATTATATAATATAATAGAAACATACATAATTACACTCATTAAGATGTATTAATGTGAGAAGTAAAAAAAATTAATTACAAATTTTGTAACCGAAAATGGAGGGAAAATTTTAGAGGTTTTATTAAATGTTTTATTAAATGCTACATGCTTGCAATTATATATATATAGATTGGGCCTGAATTGGGTCCACGTCGCGGCGGCGAGATGGCGGCGGTGAGGGCGGCCTGACGGTGACTCCGGCGGTCGGGTGTTTGTCGGCGGCAAATCTGGTTTGAAAATGGGTTGTGGAGTTGGTGTATTGGGGTTGGGCTTGAAAATGTGTTGTGGAGATGGTGTATTGGAGTTGGGGCCATATTTTGGAAAATTAGATAGATTTAGGGGACTTACTTGCAATTTTAGAACATTTAATATATGTATATTTTAATACTTGATGGCAATGTATAATGTAATTAAAGATAATTTTATGGACAATAAATTTAAAACTTAATGTGCACTTTAAAAAATATAATATATATAATGTCACATTTACACGAAATTATTAAGAATTTATTAAACACTCATTTTTTTTTTTGTTAAAGCGAATTGCACAATATTTTCTGTATATATGCGTTTTAAAATTTAAAACATGTAATCGAATCGAAATATAAAATATCAAGCCGTAAAATTTGGTTTATCGATTTTGATCCATATTGTGCAATCTGATAATCATTACGTGTCATTCGTCTAACACTATTGTGCACTTACATACATTTTTATATAATTTTTATATGTATCTGATCAACATTGGAAAACTAATATTAGTTCGTCCGTTCTCGGTCACTAGTGTGCAGTCTGATATACATTAATGTGTAACTTGTCTAACACAATTGTGTACTTCCTATGTTGTTTTTGCGCAACATGAATTAAAACTAATATTAATTATGAGGTGTATTTTATCGGTTAATATTATATTTAGTACTTTAATTTATTTAATAAATTTATATTTTTTTTTTTTGCTAGAAAACATGATATATGAAATCCTGAATATGATGTTGCGTATCATACTTAAAACAATTTGCATTTAGCCTGACATTATTGTGCATCATATTGCATCATATTATGCGTGCATTTTTTTACTGCGTTACAATTTTATAAATAAATAACAATGCCTATTTTCAATTAATATGAATATGCAATTTATAAATTATTTTTTATTTATTAAAATAATTTATATTTATATTAAAATAATATAGAATTTTTTTTATTTATATATATCTATATTTATATTAAAATAATATTTAGTATGATAATAGTTTTATTTATTATTTTTATATTATTTTCAATTGAAAAATATAATATACGAAATATTGAAAACGATAATGTGCAAACACGCAAACACAATTGTGCATATCGTATAACATTATTGTGTAGTCTATTGAGCGGAATTTTTTTACGTGCATTTCAATTTTTATGATTTTTTCAATAATGTGTATATTAATTAATTTTATTGTACATTTGTCAAATTATTTATATAATACAAATATATTTAGTATATAATTTTTTATGTTGTATTTTATATTATTGTTTGTTGAAAGTAGATCATATATGTGTGTATATATATAGATCAAATTCTGTTGTTTTTATTATTTATTTATTTTTTAAATAAATTAGTAATCGAACCGAAATAACCAATACTTCCATATTGTTAAATTACACACTTATGTTGATGTGCATTTTCAAATGAATTATTGTGCATTCGATCTAATACGATTGTGCATTTCGATAATCACTAATGTGCATCTCGCTTATTATGAATTTTTTTTCGCGTGCAAATACAAACTAACAATGAACCTATGTAACCGAATTTATATAAGTCATTTATTAATAATATTACAAGAAACTAATTATTATAAAATAATTTTATATATTATTTTTATATTATTCTATTATTTTTATTGTTATTTATTACATTTTATATATGTGTATAAAAAATAAATGAGATATCATATTGTTATTGAGTTTATATAAATTGTAGATTTAGCCCATAGAACTCAATTACAATTTAATAAAATTTCAAAAATTTGCAATTAAGTCCCTTAAATATATCAAATTCCCAAATGTATGCCCAATTACATTAAATCTGATTTGGCAGTCTGAGCACATTCTGTAGCCGCCGGCGGGTTGGCCAACCGATGGGTGCTCAAATACCAGAGAGGGAAAAGTGAAGGATTCGGTTTCTTCTTTTTCGGAAAGGGAGGCCAATGAAGCACGAAGGGATTGAGTGTCCTCCTCCAACTTTGCCATGATCTTTTCTAATTCGGTTGGAGGGGCCCGAGTCGGCTCGGGTGGAGGCATAACATCAAATGAACCGGGAGGTGGAAGATAGTAGAAAGGCGTCTCGTCATAAGCCGGATAGTGATCATAATAATCGCATTGGGGTGTGGAATAAGGGTGGCTCAGGCCAAATGAGTTCATCTCCCCTTGAGAATTGTCGCGGTATCCACGAAATGAGCTCCCAGCATAATAGTGAGAATAGGGATCCATCCGGGCTCCTCAAGCGTAATACCTCGCACAAGAACAATAAAAACAACCCTAGGCACACGAGGCAAGAGAGAGAATAACAAAAAGCGAAACTAAAAACACATAATATTTACACAGGCACGAAAGCAAAAGCAAGAGAACTAGAAAATAAGCAAATAATCAAGAGAAACACGCAAAAACGAGCAAAGAGCACAAAACGGAAGAGAAACACGGAAACAAACGACAACTAGATAGCAAATTAGGCGTCCTACTTGCCTTCCCCGGCAACGGTGCCATTTTGTTGAGTAAATTTTTTTGGGGTATTGGTAACCGAGTTACCCGGCCTCGGGTCGTTCTCAAATGAAGGCTATTCGGAGCTTCGGTTACTACCTAGTCGTCAAAGTCACACAAATGAAAACATCCTAGACATGCTAATCGCCTGGTTTGGGTTGTATTTAAAC